ACAATGCTCCACATATACATATACATGCATTATATATACATATATGTATGTATAGAAGAGCTTACATAGCCGCACTTGTACCGAAAACCATACACGTACACATATATATATATACACATGTATATATATATATATATATGGTGTGTGTGTAAAAACATAGCGATGTGTATATAGGTGGCCAAATTTTAAGATACATGTTAATTGATGCACAGAGATGGGTCGATAGTGTGGTTGACAGAACTCATATATATATATATCAAAATTGGCACGAGGACATGTATATATATATATAGATACATATATATATATACATATGTGTATCGACTGAAGCGGTTAGGTGGGTAGAGATGGCCAGGGAATGGTTACAGTTAGCTGGATATGTGTGCATGAAATGTGTACATATATATACATAAAAAGAAAATACAAATAATTGCACTTGTCGAATTAAATACGAAGAATCACATTTGTCAAATTAAATATGAAGAATCGTATTTGTCAAATTAAATATGAATAGTTGCATTTGTCAAATAAATATGAAGAATCGCATTTGTCAAATTAAATATGAAGAATCCCATTTGTCAAATTAAATATGAAGAATCACATTTGTCAAATTAAATATGAAGAATCATATTTGTCAAATTAAATATGAAGAATCACATTTGTCAAATTAAATATGAAGAATCACCCTTGTCTATTTTATAGGTGTATGCGGTATACAATGCTCATTTTTCTATTTGTGTAAATATGCTTTATTAATTAATAGTGACCACTCTGCAGGCAATATATCAATTCTTCAAGTTAGTCATGAATACTCAGCCAGAGGCTGTGTTTCTGTAGTTCCCTGCACCAGCACAATATTCATATGTAATTTGACAAATTGGCCCTTCGAAACAGCTCCCCGGCCAGTCCCGCCCGCGACCCGCCCTTTCCCGCCCGCAGCCCGGCCATTCCCGCCCGCGACTTTTGGCGCATTTTACGTGAGGAGCGGTTCTTCCTAAATAATATGAAAAATATAATTTTTCATATTATCCATGAAGAATTGGGTTTCGGATATGTTGATAGACAGATATATATATATATATAGGTTTAATTTTTATATATATATATATGTATATGTATGCATATTATATATATATAAAAATATAAGTGGTTTCTCTCCCTTAATTAACTTCTATTTATTCTATATATGAAGTACACATATACATATATACTTTATCTAAAATATATATATATATATACATGTATACATATGCATGGATAAACACATATACATATATATACAGGCATGTACGCATGGATATATATATATATATGTATACATATATTTGCATATATATATATATGTAGACATATATTGTTTGTTTGTGTATATATATATATATATGAACCTATCGATTTGTGTATGTGTGTATATATATATATACTCACGCATGTTTACATGATGTATATATATATATATAGGTCTGTGTGTATATATACATATATAT